CCGGCCTAAACTAGTTTTTTAACCGAAATCGAAACTTCTTATCGATAAATATGGAAGAGTAATTATTTGGTCATCTAAAAAGGACGGCTACAATGTGATGCAGGAGGTCAAGTACGAGTGTATCTCCAAGAAAAAGTTAAACAAACAAAACAAATAATCTCCTCTATTTGAAGAAACAAAATAATGTATTTTATCTAAGTTCCTAACATGTTGTTATCATACTGCGCCTTATGACATTAGGGCAATAGTTTCCTTGTTCATCCTTTCAGTATATGAAACAAATTGAAAAACTATCTGAGAAACTGGATATATCAACCAAATACGTAGAATAAATATTGAATCCAGATAGAAGATTGTTTATAGAAGGAAAAACGTAAGATGTTGTTAAAAATATAGCTTTCTCTAAAAATTAATCCACTACACATACTGGCATGAGTAAAGGGCACATTATAGAATGATTCTGAGATTCTTGATAATGGACGGCATAACAAACGATATTTGCAACCAAAAACGTAGTTTTGATTTCGGTTGTATTTTCGGTGGACTTTTTGGTAAAACCGAAAGTTTTGGATCAAAACTGGTCGAAAGTGAAACCCAAAGTTCGGTCGGACACTAATATACAGCACTTCTCAGAACCCCCCCCCCCTACTTACTTATTTTTTGAACGACCCAACTTAGCGAGCTGAAACACTGGATAGTGAAATTAACGCTTCAATATTATATTTTAATTTGAACATAACATTTCAAAATCTCACGATGGCGGCTGAGCACCAGCTTGTAATACTTTTTTATGTAATGTGGAGTCATGTGATAGCTGATTGTGAAGCTCCATATGACAACTTTTTCTAACGTATTTAGACTGTATTTTTTTTCTAAAGAAACAACCTCCCATTTTAGGAAGTTTTGTAATTCTGAGTATTGGAGCTGGAGGAAGGAAACCGAATTTTCACAAATGTTTTTCTCCATAACTCATTTTGAGATGGGATTTCAAAATTGAAAATACATTAGCCTTGCAACTTTTTTATTCACATTGTGGGATTATTAGAAATGCAATATGACGTTTCGTCTCTTGTCCTCAATCATAAACTTTTTCTTATAGACGCCATAATAGATTTTTGCGTAGGTGAATAGAGTTCTTAATTCTGATTCTAAAAATTTATGATACGTCAAACATTTCTAAACGTTAATTTTATTTTACTCGACTTCGTATGTCTTACCATTTCCGAGGTCCCTATAGTGAGAGTCGAATTTGAAACGCTCATATATATGGGGTTGTCCAAAACGGACGCAGGAAAGTAAACGCATATTAAAACAAGAAAGATTGATATTCAAATCAAGTTGGGTACTTTATTTTGAAGGTTTATTTATACCATTTATGTATGAAAAATAATATCGCTCAAATGTTCACCACGACTGGATTTACAGACGTCCACGCGGTGGTCGAAATTTTCAATGACATTTTGCAACATGGTCGGTTCTGTGGCATTTATCTCGGCAATGATGTTGTTTTTGAGTTCTTGGAGGGTGGCTGGTTTGTTGACGTAGACTTTGCTTTTCAAGTATCCCCATAAAAAGAAGTCCAAGAGAGTCAAATCGCACGATCTTGGTGGCCATGGCACATTTCCTCTGCGCGAAATCACGCGATCACCGAAGAAGGACTGCAATCGATGGATATTGACGTTGGTTGTGTGGCATGTTGCACCGTCTTGTTGGAAATAAACATCGTCCATATCCATTCCTTCAAGTTGCGGCAAAAAATAGTCCTCTATCATCACGTGATATCGTTCAGAATTGACGGTAACGGCGTCCCCGGCCGCATTTTCGAAAAAGTAAGGTCCGATGATGCCTTTTGACCACAATGCACACTAAACAGTCACTTTTTGAGGATGCATCGGCTGCTTTTGATACTCACGGGGATTTTCGTTCGCCCAGATGCGGCAGTTTTGCTTGTTTACCGTCCCATTCAAAGTGAAATGCGCTTCGTCGCTGAACATGATTTTTGATGAAAAATTGGCATCAATTTGGCGGTGATCAAGGAGCCAATCTGAGAACGTTCGGCGAGAAAAATGGTCGGCCCGACGCAGCTCTTGCGTCAATTGGATCTTGTAGGCGTGTACATTCAAATCCTTGTGGAGAATGCGGAGCAAACTGGTTCTCGAAATGCCCAATTCTTGGGATCGACGCGTTGTTAATTGTTTCGGATCGTCTCTCACACTCTCCTTCACAACAGCAATATTTTCCGGTGTGCGAACGCTCCTTGGCCGGCCAGAGCCTGGCAGATTTGCCACAGAACCTGTTGCCTCGAATTTACGCACCAGACGACCGATGGTTGTTTCGTTTGGGCGGTTGTTGCGACCGAAATGTTCACGAAGCGCGCGAAACGTGTTTTTTATTTTTGCACCATTTGTGTAGTGCTCTTGACTAACTTTAATGCGGTCTTCAATCGAATACGACTCCATAGCGATCAATGGTAAACATTCAACTAACAAAATGACATGTCGGTGACAGAAAACAAAGATGGCGTCTATGTCAAATTGACGTTTACTCTCCTGCGTCCCTATTGGACAACCCTTTACACCTATATACTGACCAGAACAACCATCAACGTTCCCAAATGTGAAGATACGTCACCACTGACATTACGGTTTATTAATTCGTATTTTGAACTAATTGGTTGTTTTTTGACTAGGACCCTTAGTTTGTTTTCTTTTGGTATTTATTTTCCAAGAACGAGTGAGTTGTGGCTTTTGTCCGCAGCAGTCTTTCCTGCTCCAGAAAAGTTTCTTTGGAATCAAATCGGAAGGACATTCTGTGGCTTCGCCTCAACTCCAAAACATCATCCAAGCTTATTTGCTGCCTTTATGGCTCTCCCTCGGACCATAACTGGGATGACCTACTAGAATACCTCGCCGTCATGATCGACTTTCTGAACTTCAATCACCCCGCTTCAGAGGTAGTTCTTGGTGTTTTCTATGCCCATAATGAGCTTTGGTTGGGCTCAAACAAGACCGAAGCAGCAGGTCGTGCAGTCGAAGCGTTCCCTCTTACTCAAGGGCTGATCCAGCTGGTGACGAGCCCTACTTTTTTCACCGCGTCCCGTCACACGCCAATAGCCTGCTGTATCTCTTTCTAACGACGCGTCCTATCCCTTACAATACTGCTGTCCCGTCCCCCCTGGGTAACTCGGACCACGATGTTGTGGAGGTTAGGTTTCGGTCAGAACCCGCTGTGGCAGCAGAAACTCGTACAGGCCGCAAAACTTGGCATTACGGACATGCCGATTGGGAGGGGCTCAGAGACTTCTTCTCTATCTTTTATTCGATAACCGAAATTATCCACGTCGAAATGGAGGAATACATCCCTCTTACAGAGAAAGTGCCTAAACCTGGGTCCAACGGCTGGTTTAACAAATCGTGTGACACTGCTCGCCAGAAGAAGATCCACGCACACAGAACTTTCTTACAAAACCCCACTGTAGAGAACAGACAAGCCGACGTCGAGTCCAGAAACAAATATAACGAAGTGGTTCGCAATGCCAAAAACCAGAACGATATAAAAGTTATATAAAAGTCGGTCTTTCTAGACGCTGGCAAAGCAGATTGAAAAGAACTTCCCACGCAGTAGCCAAGGGGCTTTGCTCCTCGGAGCTCTCTTCTACGCGATGTTCCTACCAGACAGACCCAACCTGGCTTTGGTGTCCCATCCTAACCATGTCGAGCTTCGTACATCCAGAAGTTAGCGATACGACCGCTCCTTTGTCCCGAGGGTGTCTAGACTGTGGAACAATCTACAAGATAAAGCTTTTCCCAGTTCTGCTAACCTTAGGCAGTTCAAAAATCGTATTCACAAAATTTCTTTGGGATCACAATCAAATTGCACCAAAATACTAATTTAACATTCACCAATAAGAAAAATAACGATTCGGGCAAATATAGCATTTACGTTGCCCTATTCGCTTTGCTCGAAATCACTTTCTACCGAAACTAGACTTAAAAAGGTCCGTCTGCATAGATACGATAAAACTGGAATTACAATCACAATACATAACTTGTAAAGTCAATGTTTTTGCTGAAAAATTACATTTTGTTGTCGTTGACGTATCAGATATATTTAAGTGACTTTTCGCAATGACGGACTTGTAGTTTTGATGTAAAATATTCACTGTTCCCAAACCTCATCGAAACATCAAAAGTAAAATTAGGTGGATGGACCATGGAAGGCACGCTCTTTGTAGAGTCGAATATTAAAAAGTCGTAATTATTGCCATGTGATGAAAAATTCCTTCTACTTATACTAACACCTATCGAACTCACGAACAAAACACGGTGTCGAGTCACTCACGTCAATTACATATTTGCTATGGTGCTAAAGTAAACAATAAATGAATCATTTTCATTTTAGTTAAAATATGTGTAGTGTAGTTGGGCTTACTAGGGCACAGGTGCCTTTATTAAGAACATCCCGAATCACAAAAACATAGATAATTCGCTGTTTGTTGTAGCGGAAAGTTGGGTACATTGTGTCGGTTTTTAAATTCCCTCAATGTTTAATGAATCGTAGATATCCAACGCCATCCGCAACAATTTGGTTTTACAAGGAATATACCCATAATAAGGCCATTTTGGTCGATTTATCTTTTATTTGTTCCATTGCAATGGTTATTGGCAAATTATTTAATATCGGCATTAAGTTAAATTAAAATCATTTTAAAACATTTTCACGAATGCATTCTTAGCTTTGCGAGTGTTCAAATAATGTTCGCTGTGTATTTTTACTGGAATATAAATATTAGTAAATATTTAATGTTTCATTTTAAAGAAAGACCATTTTGTGCATTTTAAGTAATATGAGAGGATATTATTATTACAACGTTAGTAATAATAATAATAATAATAACATATTCATCCTGTGGATCACAAGGTAATATAGAATAAGTTACAATGGAATATTTGGATGAAAAGAATTGAACATTTCAACATGTTTGTATTGCTGTATAAACATAAAAGATTATCTTAATAATATAACATTTTCGTCATTTGTTTTCTTACATTTAATTTTCCATACATCTCTATAAAACAACACGACTGAAGGAACTTTAATGCAATTATTGATTACTTAGCCAACTGTTCTGTACATTGCTGCGTAAGAATATGATCCTTTCAAAACCTGAAAAAATCAGATGAGTGTAATTGAAATACTGAAATACCTGGAACTATTCAGAAAAGTTCACTTTTTTTGGATTACATAGATAACATAAGAACAACAACTTAACAAAATGATAGATAATCGACATTTTTAAAGTAGTACTGGCAAACTCTGTTTCATGATGTTCGTCGGGGATGTACATTTACATCTGACATAATAGCCCCTTTCCACATTGGCAAGTGTTAGTTAGGTGAAAATAATATTTACAAGCTTAGAAGAGTGGTCAACTGTTAAATGACAGAAGTTAATTTCTAATTCTCTATTTTCTACATATGTCTACTCAACAATTTCAGAAAAGCCTACACTTGACTTGGATTTTTTTTCTCCCGGATGCCTTCCACGTGAATTATAAAAATTGTGTTTAATTAATCCATATGTCGATAAATTTGAGGTAAATGTACTTTTTCTTAAATATTTAAAACACCATCTTCTTCACCTCAACTTATCTCTCTTTCTCTGATTCTTACCGAAATTATTGTAGACAGCTTAAGAGGAAAAAATTTCGCAGCTGTCAAGTATATCGGCTTATCCATTCTCATCATCATGATTAGGATGCAGGTCTTGAATCTTTTGCTGCATTTGTACCATTCGCATTCGTATAAGCTTCCTCGAAATGAAAAACACTGAAACAAAATGCTTAAAGTTTTCCATAGATCCGATTTTTGCCTCTATAACACTGGAGTCAACTTCCCCCTGTTTTAAAAAATAGATGCCAAGACCGGACCCCTATTCAAAATTGTCAATAAAGATTTAATTCTTAGCCTTTTGAAGCCTACTGGTTCTCTGGTACGATCACCAATTCATCGTCAATTTATTTGGCTCGTGCTGGTATTCTGACTTTACCACGAATATTTCCCTCATGTATAAAAAATGACATATGAAGTATGGAATTATCCCACAATTACAGCCAAAATTTCCCCTTACTTAGACGACGGGAAATTTTCTAAGTAATATCATAAGGACATTTAATTTTTACGAAAAAAGCTTAGTAATATTTTAACAAGAAGAATGAGTGCTGGTAGCAACAAAAATCCAAGTCGAAGGGGAACATTTGCACGAATGTTTTTTGTTAAAAAATATTACTTTTCATTGTTGTTTCGATTTTATTCACAGGAAAAGATTAGATGCCCGAATGGTATTTGACAACACTATTTCATGAGATTATTCTGCAGCATACACATAGCTTACAAAACATACTTTATTGACAATAAAATCAGAAAAATTGTTACGCGTCGTTTTTTGGTGTCCTAGGAGACCATAATTACGTGATCAAACGAACTTATGTACGATCTTAATTATGTGAAGTCCTCGTCGAAGTAAATATTTAGAATACATATCGTAGTACCCTCGTAGTATTATCCAACCGACACGATTTCAAAGCGCGCACTCGGAGAAGGAAAGCGGCACCGCGCCCCTTCCCCCTACCTTTCCCCCTCTGGCCGCCTATAAACCTTCATTTACTTCAAAGCCTAGTTGTTGCAACAATTTCTATTATGGTTTCCGTTACCTCATGGTTCACCTTAGGTGGCCAGAATAGAACAGAATTTATTCATCTATCGTCATCAACAAGATCTGCCCTCGAAATGTCAGCCTTGGCACAACACGCGAACATTAATTATACTAAGGTCGCCGCATCATCGTGGTGATGCATAATCTTTTGAAACAGACTACATGGCCTTTAAGAGAACACAATCCAGAGCGCCCTGCTGTTCGAGTGCCACCTATGCAAAATGTATCGTTAATCGGGCATAATGATATTTAACTTCCGTTATTACTGAACATTAGAACTTTGGTGGTTTCCTAACCGGACATGTTCATACGTACAGTCCTGTTTCATAGTTATCACCAGCCATGTGGAATTTGCTATCACAAGCAAAATATAACGCTAGTCTACATAGGTGTACCTAATTTCTATATGTTGTTAACGAAAAATAGTACTTCAGCTGTCTCGTAATCTGTCATGTGCATATTATTGATCTGTTCGATGGCCATTCCAAACCATATGGAATTTGCTATCACAAGCAAAATGTAACGCTAACATAGCATAAGGTGCCTACTCTTTAGCTGGTGATAAGAAAAAGATATACATTGGCGGTTTTCTAACCTGACATGTTCATAATTACACACCTATTCCACGGTTATCACAAACCACGTAAAATTTGCTTTCACAAGCAAAATGTCACGCTAGTCTCGCATAGATGTAGCTAATCTCTGTCGTTCATTAATGAAAAATGGTACTTCGGCTTCTTTCTAATTTCTCATGTGCATCCTTACAACCTTGTTTCATAGTTATCACAAACCAGATGCAATTTGCTATCTCAAACAGAATGTAACGCTAGTCTCGCATTTATCAACCTAATCTCTATTTGTTATTAATGAAAAATGTTACTTCGGCAGTTTCCTAAACTGTCTTGTGCATTCTTATTATGCTGTTCCAGATGGAAATTGCTATCACAAGCAAAATGTAACGCTAACCTCGCATAACATACTCTAATCTCTATTTGGTAATAAGGAAAAAATATATCTTAACAACTTCCTAGCCTGCTATGTTCAAACTTACGGTCCTGTTACATGGTTATCACAAACCACATGAAATATGATATAACAAGCAAATGAGAAAAGACTGTTGACCATACCTTATTGTTACGTTGTCCCAAACGCTTTCAGTGTTGTTATTTGTGCAACGAAGTTCAGTATTGAGTCATTTTTCCAAACATCTCCAGTCGTCCCTCGTGTGGACTATCACAAGCTAGGTCCATGTTGCTATCCCAAGCAACCGAGTCCAAGTCCAATGTTACAACGTCATCCGAAATGTCTTCGTTCATCCTTGGTGTGGAGCTGACTACCCCAAGCCAGGTTCACGTTGCTATCCCAAGCAACCGAGTCTAATGCTTCCACGTTATCCCAAACGTCTTCGTTCGTCCTTGGTATGGAGCTGACTATCCCAAGCCAGGTCCACGTTGCTATCCCAAGCAACCGAGTCCAATGTTTCAGCGTTATCCCAAGCGTCTTTGTTCGTCCTAGGTATGAAGTTGGCTATCACAAGCTAGGTCCAGGTTGCTATCCCAAGCAACGGTGTCAGAACGTTATTCCAAACATCATGCTAGGCACAATTTGCAGCGACGGTGAGGCATCCATACTAATATTCATTTAACTTGCACCTAAAACAGATCGGTTAGTTGACAGTTACCTAATGGTGACGCCCTTTCAGAAAAAGAGGCCTGCACGCCACTTTCTAATTTTGGTCGGCGACGAAAGGAACCTTCAGGCGACCGTCGGCGTCGGTCGGTATCTCGTTCGACAATGCACATCTACCTTCTGTCCTGTTTTCTACTACTAAATGTTCAGCGGATCCTCGACACTGCACTGCACGTAGCACGTAAACGACACACGCCGATTAACGTCTTGACGGTTTTGGCGGCCAGAGGGGAGAAAGGTAGGGGGAAAGGGCGCGGTGCTGCTTTCCTTCACTGCGTGTGCGCTTTGAAATCGTGGCGGTTGGATACTACTACGAGGATACTACGATATGTATGCTAAATATTTACTCCGACGAGGACGGAACATAATTACTTGTTGTCAAAGGTATTGTAATTTTTGGTGACAACAGCTGTCAAGTTTTGACGCGGGTAATCTCGAAAAAACCGCTGACAGGTGCTGTCAAACAATTTTTCCATCTAGAAACCATTTGTAATTCAAAATTGCGCCTTTGTGATTTGTAGAAATTAAGACGAATGAAATAGTCAGTGAAAATTCCCGTATTGGCCAGGCATGTGTTTTACTTTTTCACAAACTACTAAATGGCAAAATTGACTCCATCGACCTATTGTCACAGCTTATATCTTAATAACTTTGTACCAAGCCTTAATGCTCATTACACATTTTTATGGAAAAGAGCTCAAACAAATATGTTGATGAAAGCACGTATCTATTAATCAAACATGTGCAAGCGGGAACAACCTGTCTAACGTCTGTGACATTTTCTGCTGCAGCTTTCCGTAATTAAGAACTCATTGTCGTGTCAATTTGTAGTTTTTTAAAGTTAGTTTTAAGTAAATTTAGTACATATTTGTTTTATTATTATTATTATTATTATTCACTGGACAACAAATTTTAGTTTTTTAATTGTATCTTGTGGGAAAAGTGCACTTCTTTGTTAATTTTGGGGCGCTGAATCCAAAAATGACAATGAAATAAAAAAATTAGTTGCGGCTTAGAAAAAAAACTTTTTATTTTTAAGGATATATTAAAAAAAGTAACAAGATTCATATACTTATAAGAATCACTATATGCGCTGTCTTTTTGCTGTTCTTTTATGGATCGTTTCTGGAGCATCTCTACCAAGAGTCCAACAGTAGTCTGCAAGCATGGAAGGATTCCACTTTCCCTGGTACCTTTTTTCCATTGTTGAAATATCCTGATGAAAACGTTCGCCGTGCTCATCACTTACGGCTCCCCAATTGTCAGGAAAAACGTCCAGGTGTGAGTGTAGGAAATGTATCTTAAGAGACATATTACAGCCCATCTTTTGATACGATGACAGCATATTTTTGACAAGGGTTTTATAGTTGTCAGCTTTTCTATTTCCCAAGAAATTAGTGACCACCAGACGGAAATCATTCCAAGCAGTTTTTTCAATACCTGTTAAAGTGTTTTCAAACTGTGTATCTTTAAAAATATTTCGAATCTGTGGCCCAACAAAAATACCTTCTTTAACCTTTGCCTCACTTAGTCTTGGAAATTTCTGACGCAGGTATTGAAAAGCTGACCCATCTCTATCTAATGCCTTGACAAAGTTTTTCATTAGGCCCAACTTGATATGCAGTGGTGGTAATAAAAATTTTTTCGAATCTACTAATGGCATATGGTGTACATTTTTTTGACCTGGCTCTAGGAATTGACGAACAGGCCAGTTTTGTCTGGTGTAATGAAGTGCCTTTGCCCGACTGTCCCATTCACACAAAAAACAGCAAAACTTTGTGTAGCCTAGCTGCAGCCCAAGTAAAAGTGCAACAACTTTCAAATCGCCACAAATATGCCATTGGTGCTCATTGTATTTTATGTATGTCAATAGGTACTTCATATTGTCATATGATTCTTTCATGTGAACTGCATACCCTACAGGAAGAGATGGTAAAATATTTCCAATATGCAATAACACTGCCTTTAAACTCAATGTTGAACTGTCTATAAACAATCTCCATTCTTCTGGGTTACAGTTTATATTTAAAGCCGCCAGTAAGCCGTTAATGTTACTGCAGAAAACCAAGTTATTCTCCATATTGAAAAATGGTTCTAAGTTTTTGTGGCGTTTACGAAAAACACATACCGAAACATCGTCTTCTAACAAGTTCCACTGCTGCAGTCTTGATCCAAGTAACTCTGCCTTACATTTTGGAAGTTCTAAATCTCTTACAAGATCATTTAATTCTGACTGTGTTATTTTGTGCGGTTGGTGGCATGACGTGCTCGGTATAAAATCAGGATCTCTTGACGTTGATGGCATATCTTCTTCCTGTCGAATTACTCGATCGCCATGATCTGATTCGCAAGTGTAGGATTCTGGGGGTTTTGGAATAGGATTTTCGTCACTGTGAGGTACAGGTCTCATCGCAGGTGGTATGTTTGGGTAGTTAATAACCGATTTTTTTTTCTTGGACATACCTGTGGCTTGTCCAACACAAGGTACCATGCAAAAGTAACAATCATTAATATGATTTGTAGGCTCTCTCCAAACCATTGGGACAGCAAAGCGCATAGACCGTTTTTTGCCATTTAACCAGCTCCTCAGACTTGAAGCACATGTATTACAGCAGATGTGGGGTGCCCACTGTTTGTCTTGATCACCTAGTTTACAACCGAAATAAAGCTGATATGCCTTTGTTATTAGTGGAGTAATAGACCGTCTCTGAGACGCAAAAGTCACATCACCACACACGTAACAAAACTGATCTGGATTGTTTACACACTTTCGAGACATCTTGCATGAACGCTGTCAGCCAACTGAGGAAAAATGGTAAATATAAAACAATATAATGTACACGTATGTATAACGTAACACAATCATGCCGATTACATCATCTTTCCTTGCCGAATATAAAAATGTAGCACGTGCATTCTTGTGAATTACAGTATATTAACACTGTCACAGCAGGAACACATATAATTACCGTATCTCTAAAACTTGAACTAATATTGAAAAAATAAGTTTCATTCCGGTTTTAGCACATTAAAAATAGTAATATTATTATTATTATTAGTAGTATATCATAGGAAGTGTAAATGGTAGAACCGCCTTACTAATTACACTTGGCAATAATGGAGTTTGAGGAGCAGAGCCAGTGCAGTTCAATTTTTGGGAGGGGCTCGGTTTGACGCACCAAACCCTAGAAAACGTTAACCTGTGCCATAGGGTATCCTACCACGTTCATTTTCAGTTAAGACTTACCGCTTCTGTAACACGACTTCCATAATAACACATCATGCTAAACTGGATCAGGAGAGCAATGATGTACTCCGCGAGAGAGAGGAATTCTGGATCTGCCACTGACATTTTCGATACAATGAATAAATTGGAGGCTATTGCTATGGTACCTGTCAGCATAGCCAATAACGTCGTGAACGTAAACATTTCCTCTAGTTCTTCGCATATCCTGGAAACATTTCAAATGTTAAAATACGTTCAATAATAATGAGGGAAGTGACAAATAATGTTCAAAAATACGACTAAGCGTGTAATGTGTTACCAATAACTTTGACATAGCGCCATTAATAGTACATTACATACCACCATGATGGAGAAACATGTCAATATTCGCTTTCTCCAAACGTATGTACATATTTTTTTCAGTACTATGATATGTTACTACACTAAATTTGATTAGACTTTGACATATTTGAATATCTGAGAATTTTTAGAATGTCCGACAACACATGAAGTGTGTTGCAAGTGACGGATTTAGGGGGTGCGGGTAGCGCTCAATCCACCTCCTAGACGTCTGACACTTGCTTTTGTAATCTACACCACTGTGTGACTTTCTGACACATCATGGCGACAGAGGCATACTAACTATAAGTTATATGTTATCTATAGGAACTGAGGATTGCGGTTTTTTTGGTATCCTTTGGTATCCAAACGCTGTTCTTCTTTGACATCACTTACGTTTACAGCACAATTCTTACGATTTATACGTATATACGAGTATTGTGACTTGTGGCAAACCTAAGTCTGAGTAATATATTAGCTATACAGATTGCACTTAAAACGTGAATAGTAATTTGAAAAGTGTTAAAGCTTGACTGATTTTGTTCGGGGTCTTTATTGCAACGAAGCACTATGGTATATGAACGCCAAAATTGTAAATAGACATTTATGAGATTTGTTTAGCGGTGTGCCTGTGGCCTGTGCAGAAAATGCGTCGATTGATGCTCAAAGTCACCACACGTCCAGCATCTCTTCTCGCGTATGTGTCTATTTATGTTGCTATATTGAATTCGTTTAAGTCACAGAGCTTCTGCACTACACGTGAATATGTACAGCCCTGTATTCTTGTACTTGTTTCGTACAAACATACATTATCAAAATAATTACGATCTAACAGATATAACGTTTTACCAATGATTTCATTTTGACATGCGATCAACACCGATTCGAAAACTGAGAAAACAACAGCTGTGCCGTATATCTAGGTTCGGCAGCGAAAGTCTGAAGAATACCTGTAACATCTATATTAAATTTAAAAAAATAATTGACTATACCTATTGATATTTTTTACACCTGCTGACATAATAGGAGTGCTTGATTGTGTCAGTATTTGCCCTTATTACTTGATTTGTTTAATGGGCACTTTAGAGTCTTACTCGTTAAGCTTAGTACACACTAGTAGAACCCGTTGCGCAGTTTGACTATAGGCAGTTTGGAGACGGTCTCAAGACACGATCTATAGATGGTCTATAGACATCCTTCTTTGTCTCGTCTAGCGTCAATACAATAATTTGAATTTTTCGGTATCATGTTCTGTTCCGCCATCAAAAACATTGTTTTGTGTAGAATGGACTGGGATATGTCTTGGGGTCTCTCAGAATGTTTTTTTTGTTAACAGAGCAATGAAGTCTTTTATGTTTTAATCTTTAATATTTTCACATTAATTAATTATAACTGACACGTATTTATTTTGTTCTCATATAATAAAATATTGCCCTCATGAGAATTTCTGAGCATTTTCCATGGATTTATTTCAACCTGGCATTGACCAGATAGAACACAATGGATTTAAGGGGCAATAATAGGATAAATTCTAGAAGTTCCACCGAGGTTGAAAAATTGCCCGCCCCAAATATCGTTTGCCCCCTCCCCTAGACGAAATTCTAAATCCGCCCTTGGTGTGCATCACAAAGTGTTGCGTAGGAATGACGACAAAGATAGAAAACGCGTAGAAAGTTCCTCGACAAATCATCAGTTTCCCCTTATTTTCAAATACTCCAATTGATCAATGTAGTAAATCATAATTATTAGTAACATTCAAAACACAATTGTAGGAATGGCGATTTGTCGATACTGCCCGTAATTTACCTAGAGATTTTTGTACTACAATATTTCCCTGGAGAAGAAATATAACTTCTCCTTAGTGGTATAAGGTAAACAATGACGTTGTTTTAGGTTAGTAGGGAGAAGACAATTCATTTCTATATACAAGCACTTATAAACACATACAAAGTATGCTACAACTAACTGTACTATATATTTTGGAAATGGTGACATATTCTTAGCTTCGTGATATTTAGTCGGATGAAAAATGGTGATGACGAAATTCAAGAAAGCGCTTTATGAGTTTCGTGGTATTTTAGCGATTTCGCATGCGGTAATGACCATTCGATATTCGAGAACCATCACCACCCCCCCCCCCCTCCCCCCATACTGCCTCTAGCGAGGAAATACGTGTGCATGCAACATGCACATATTCTGGCGCCGCATTTAAGATCCGCCGGGTGATACCCCCCCGTTCGACAATCAGAGTCCGTCTACAATCTACCTGTATTTGATTCAAAAGAAAAATTTTTCACTGAATCTGTTAATTTGTTCGAGGTGCTAGTTGATATCCTTTCACGTTTTCCTGACAAAATACAGTGGAATCCACTTATAATGAACTTGCTTATAATGGACCCGTATGTAATGGACACAATTTAAGGTCCTATGAATAATTGAATGTAAAATCCTCGGATATTATAGACTCGCTTAAAATAGACCCTCGCTTATAGCGGACTAGTTTTATCCATTATATACGAGCTATTTTGGTAGTTCCCCGAAGCAGATTTAGCTGATGCAATCGTTTACGACGGTTTGGCTTCGCAGCTTGCATGCGAACTTGGCCACCAGTGTTATACTGTATTTATTAGAGTTATAAACATGTCGAAAATTGTGAACTGTGGATTCACTTTAGACGAAAAGTTCACAATAATTAATGAGCTTGAGCAGCGTCCATCTCAAGCAAATATATGTGTGTCGTATGGTTATATAAAAATCCACTGTGTCAAATATTTGGAAAAACCGTGAAAAAAATTAAAAATGACTAGAAATCAAATAGTAAAAAGAAAAATGCTGCTATCGCTACATCCCCAAGTCGATGATATGTTGTTTAAATGGTTTCAACAAAAGCGTTCCAATAATTTCCCAATAAGAGGACCTATGCTACAAATAAAGGCTGAAGAATTTGGGAAATTGATTGGAGATTATTTCAAATGTAGTTCCGGTTGGCTAGACAGGTTTAAGAAAATACATAACATTGTTTTTGGAAAAATGTGTGGTGAGTCAGCTTCAGTTGACGAGAACGTTACCAACGACTGGATTTTTCAAGTTTAGCCCATAATATCCAGTGATTATTCAGATGATAACATATTCAATGTAGACGAAACCGGGATATTTTATAGAATGCTAGCAGATAAAACTCATAAATTAAAATGTGAAACTTGCAATGGAGGGAAACTATCAAAAGAGCGAATAACTGTTATGATTTGTGGTAATGCTTCTGGTACTGAAAAACGGAAACAATTGATAATAGGTAAGTGAATGAATAGCAATTAATGTTTTAATTTTTTTGGTATTCAATGCAGTGCTACAAAGAATGTATGACCTTTTTCTTATTTCAGGGAAATTTAAGAATCTCAGGTGTTTCAAACATGTTAAAACAATCCCCGTCGATTATGTTACAAATAATAGAGCTTGGATGACCTCATCAATTTTTGAAGAATATTTAAAAAAGTGAGACGCTGAACTTGTTAAGAGAAATCGTAAAATTTTGCTCTTGGCCGATAACTGCCCCGCTTATCCAAATATTTCACTTAATAACATCAACCTACATTTTTTTCCACATAATGTGACATCAGTTCTGCAACCAATGGACCAGGGTGTTTATGAAAATTATGGAGCTTCAAGAAGATGTCAACATTACCAAAGCTGTCACCATTTTAGATGCTATAAATTTGCATGGGAATTGGTTACCCCAGAAACGATTCGTAATTGTTTTCGCCATGCTGGTTTAGTGGAAAACAGAATTGAAATAGTCAAGGATTTTAATCTCGAAGATGAAATTCCATTAAGTGATTTACTGAAAATTAATAGTTTACTCAATATACAGGGTGTTTCAGTTTATTGTTGCATAACTTTAAGATTCGATAGAACTTTTAAAATTAATGCATAAAGTCTATATAAACATGGGTCGAAAAATGCGTGGCTTCCGAAATACAGGGTATTTAAATTTACTTTCTAAAATAGTTTTTTTTAAATATTTCGAACAATATCTGATATATATATAATATAACAGTGAAAATTGGTATACAAGGGTTTTTTGGTACGACAAAACGAACCATCGGCATAGTTTTATTGTAGCCGCTAGAGAGCGCTCTCTACTGTACCTGTAGTGTATTAAAATGACCGAAAATTTTTTCTTAGTGCAATTTTTTGCTTTTTGGATAAAAAAGCTGATTCCTCGCACTTTTCAACATAAAAAAGCTCTCTTGTGAATTTTCGTTATAGTTAGCCGTTTTTGAGATATTTGGATTTTTAAGGTTCGATGCATTTTTAATTATTTATGATAAAATAACGTTAAAAAGTCAGTATGTCGATAATTATTAGAAGTAGGCTGTGCCTGCAAATATTTTTGAAATTGAAAGCAGAATAAGGTTAAACGTCAATTAGTTGACAGTTAGTTTTGTTGTCTGTTGAAACCTGAAACGTTTTTTTGCAATTGTGAATGCACGAAATTTAGTGTCTTTTACCTGTTTTTTTTTTGTAAGTTTCATAAAAATGCCATTTTTATTCTCCAATCAAGAGTTATATTCATTTTGTGGCTTTGTAAATGGAAACGCAGCAGAAGCAGCCAGAGAATACGCACGAAGATTTCCAAACAGAGGACATCCAACTCGCTCAGTATTTGTAAGAGTTCATCGCCAAATAATTGAAAATGGTTTTGGAAATCTCCAAAGGGATCAAAACATAAATGTTCGTCAGCGCAGATTTGCCCGTATGATTCTGCGTGAGTTTGATAGAGATCCGACCACAAGTGTTAGGAGAGTTTCTGGTGTCTTGGGAATTTCAGCAAGCCATGTTCACCGTGTTCTTAGAAATGACCATAGACGTCCTTACCATGTGCAACCTGTGCAAGGATTACAGCCAGGGGACGGAGAACGAAGAATCACATTTTGTCAGTGGATTCTTGATAGAACTGATAATAATAGGGAGTTTTTAAGTAACGTTTTATGGGCCGATGAGTCATGCTTCACTAGACGTGGAGTGGTAAATTTTCATAATCAACATATTTGGTCGCATGAAAATCAGCATGCAGTTTGGGAAAGAAATTTTCAGCATGAATTTAGTGTGAACGTGTGGATTGGTATCTACCGTAATCGACTATTTGGACCCTACCTTTTGCCTGCAAGGTTAAATGCTGCGACCTCCTTGGAATTTTTAAAGGCTGAACATGCAAATATGTGGGATGATGTTATGTTAGATTTAAAAAGATTGGCCTGGTTCCAGCTTGATGGTTGTCCAGCTCATTATGCGAGAATAGTTAGAAACTGGCTGGACGAAAATTATCCAGAAAGATGGATCGGCCGTGGAGGACCAGTCACCTGGCCTCCACGATCCCCTGACCTAAATCCATTAGATTTCCTCGTGTGGAGATTTCTAAAAGAAAAAGTGTACCAGACTCCCGTATCCACAAGAGATATGTTAATAGACAGAATCAGGAATGCATGTTCTGAAATCAGGCCTTATTTGAATAATGCTATACCACGTTCGATCATTCGTAGATGTTAATTGTGTATTGAACAATTGGGTTTACATTTCGAGCAACTACTTTAGATTTTGTATGTTTGTCCTAACTAACCAATAGCATTTTAGTTGTAAACAATTAATTTAATTTGTTAAAAATAATGTTGGAAAATTAAACAAATTAATATTCTGTTTTTTGTGTTTATTTGGAGTTAGGAATTATTGCTGTGTTTAAAAACACAATCTAAACGATCCTCTTAATTACTTGTAATGCCCAAATCGAAAATGTAAAAAAAATATTATTTTCCCATAAATAATTAAAAATGCATCGAACCTTAAAAATCGAAATATCTCAGAAACGGCTAACTATAACGAAAACTCACAGGAGAGCTTTTTTATGCAGAAAAGCAAAAAATTGCACTAAGAAAAATTTTTCGGTCATTTGAATACACTACAGGTAGAGTAGAAAGCGCCCTCTAGCGGCTACAGTAAAACTATGGCTCGTTTTGTCGTACCAAAAAACCCTTGTACGTATATCAATTTTCACTGTTATACATCAAATATTGTTCGAAATATTTAAAAAAACTATTTTAAAAAGTAAATTTAAACACCCTGTATTTCGACAGCGCATTTTTCGGCCCATGTTTATATAGACTTTATGCATTAATTTTAAAAGTTCTATCGAATCTTAAAGTTATGCAACAATAGACTGTAACACCCTGTAGACAAATTTAATGAGTATGTAAATGTTAACAATAATTTAATACCACCACAGGAATTGTCAGACTCCAATTTGGTTAATGAAGGATCCGTTGATAACGAACACTAAGACAAACTAGAAAGCAACGATGAACAAGAGCTTCCAGTGACAACTAGGGAGGCACTGGACTGCGTGAAAAAGTTGCAACGTTATTTTCAGCAAGAAGAAGACAGTGCAGCCATACTTACCAAATTAAATAAAATTCAACTTGCTGTTCTAAATAATTATACAAAAAAAAACAATCTGTTCAAATGAAAATTACTAGCTTTTTTACCAAATAATTTACGCTTTTTACACATACCTAAACAGATCGTATGTCTGTAATATGTGTATCAGATTCTGAAAAAATGCAAATTTCAAAATTACGTATAAATTTTTTGTATGTATCTTTATTTATGTAATATATGTTGAACAACTTTTAATATCTTATTTCTGCGGCTTTTTTCATTAAAAAAAGGTGTTTCTTTTAAGATGGTCATCTGCCTATAATAGACTATTTGTCACAGTCCCGCCGGGTCCATTTTAAGCGGGTTGCACTGTATAAATCCATCCTAAAAATCTCTACAAAACGCAAAAGTATTTCGATATATCCAATCATATACTTACGATACAACATTTTTTAAATGTATTTATACAGAAAGGATGTAGCATAATTCTGAAATGTTTCTAAGGAGGTTTGTGTTTTGAAGTAATACTCCATTCAGGCAAGTTTGGGTCACTCTGAACGTGAGATAGAACTGCAATGTTAGTGAACCGGCTAGTAATAACGTAAAAAATATCAAGCAAATATTGCATATCAAGTATCGAACCCAAAATATGCTGGAGCGGAAAAACGTTGGGTCAATGGATGAGATCTACAACACATCATAATTTGAAAAAATAGCCGAAAGTGATTTCCCATAAGATTCCTGCGAGGTTCCTGATTGTAATGGGGATGTTTAAGAAATTATATTCTTATGACTTTATTAGGTGGCGCTGCACCAACGCTTGTATTGTGGTGCAAACTACGAGTATATCGAAACTAATTTTCTTAATATAGTTTTATTTTTAGTAGACGAACTCTTCCTTGATAGATTAAGATTGTTAGAGAAAATGTAGTACAGAAATTACCTCAAAAGAAACAACAAATGGAGATTACATTTCTTGATTTCATTGTACAATTCACACTCTAGTGATGAACCATTCTCGTCTTGAAATACAATACAATCTTCTGGCACATTAAATTTTTCAAGTGTTCTTTCTCTAACAGTTCTTATCGCTTCTGATAGGATTTCTATATTTGTTTGTAGGCGGAGTAATAAACTGCTGAACAACGAATCATAAGCTGAAACACAGATGTTTGTGGAATTAGCCACTTTTGATGAATCGCACGATGGTGTGTAGGCAGGTGTGAAATAACGAATTGACGTACATCATTCTTCTACGTATACAGGGTTATCCAAATTAAGTGTCCACCATTAGTAACTTTGTTATTAGTGAAAATACAAAGTTTTTTGAATTAGCAAACTAGTAGCATTTTTAACGCTGGTAAAAATGAGAAATAAAAAAACAATTGAGAGTCGTTATTTTGATTTTTTTCAGTAAAATAACATTTTTTTAAATGGAAACCCCTGTATATTATATTTTTTTCTGTTAAAGCATCAAATTTTAAACAAAAAAGCTTACAATAACTTTTCTCCTAGGTTACAAATTGTTGAAGTTATGGCCTCCAATATGAAACAATTAAATTGTATCGACAAACTTTATTTTCAACATCAACTTATAATCTTACAAAATACAATAACAATTTTTTTAAAGAAGATGCTCGAAAACACCACCTTGTTCTTCAATACATTTTTGGGCACGTTTTTCAACTGCTCGAACTGTCTTAAGTATGGTCCTACCATCTATCTGGGTTATCTTTTCCCTAACTGCAGTCTTTAACGCGTCAAGGTTATCGTACCTTCGCTTGTAAATTTGGTTCTTTAAGTAACCCCACAAGAAGTAATCAAGTGGGTTTAGATCTGGTGATCTGGGAGGCCACTGTATTGGGCCATTTGTTCCTATCCACTGATCATTAAAAGTAGTACTTAGAAAATAGTACCTCTGGAGTTGTGGGCAGGTGCGCCATCTTGCTGAAAATGCAGATGATGTCTGCTTATAAGATCCAATTCGTCTAAGAAATTAGTCAGAATTTCTGACATAAATTCCACATATCTTTCACCAGTTAGGGTTCCCTCATAAAAGAACGGGCCAACAATTTTTGAACCAATTATACCGCACCAAACGTTGAAACTGAAACGGACTTGTGGGCCTCTTGGATGTACTAACAAAAGATTTTCTCTTGACCAATAATGGTGGTTTTTTCTATTAAACATTCCAGAATTTGAAAAATTTGATTCATCTGTCCATAAAAGGTAACGAAAGTTATTTACATTTTGGCGACAGAAGCTAAGATACCAATGGCAAAAAACAAGTCTTCTCTCTGGATCCCCTGCCAAAAGCGTTTGAACTGGTCGGTACTTATACGGAATAAATTTGTATTTTTTTAAAATCCTTTGAACAGTACCATAACTGAAATTAGAGTCCTTGAGAATATCTGCTATTGAATTCTCACGATAAGCTTCAAAATATCCAATAACTGCAATTTCCGTGGCCTCGCTTATTATGAATTCTTTTTTTGCCCTTGTTTTAGCAAAAACATTTTCGTTGCCCCTAAATTTTCGATAAAGTCTCAGAAAATATCGTTCATACGGTTGAATGCGAGCGGGATATAATTCACTGTAGTATTCTCTTGCTCTCAAGGAGGATTTTCTGCACACTAAATAGCATTCTAACATATCACACTTTTCTTCATGGGAGAACATTTTTCTTTAAATTAATGACACAATAAAGCTTATAAACAAGTATTTACACTAATGTTTGACATTATTTGATTTTATCATTGTTTTCCAAAGCCTTCTAGTTGCGAGTATGTCCAGTTTAACAATTTGTCGCTTATCTTAATGATGTCAAATCGCGAACGCCATGTTGTTTTCATAGCCGTCTTAATATTATAATACTGCAAATAATTAAAAATATTTATCGTTATTTTGACTTTATTTTTGACTTTAGCGGAAAAGTCATTATGAACTTTTTTGTTTAAAATTTGATGCTTTAACAGAAAAAAATATAATATACAGGGGTTTCCATTTAAAAAAATGTTATTTTACTGAAAAAAATCAAAATAACGACTCTCAATTGTTTTTTTTTTATTTCTCATTTTTACCAGCGTTAAAAATGCTACTAGTTTGCTAATTCAAACAACTTTGTATTTTCACTAATAACAAAGTTACTAATGGTGGACACTTAATTTGGATAACCCTGTATATGTATATGTGAACATATTTCGTGGAAGAAATAGTGTCATCTAATTATAGTACCTTTCCCTCAATCAAATAATACCATAGCGTACAAAATTGTCCTGAATAATAAAAAAATAAATTAATCTGACAATACTGTTTATTCAATAATTATATTCATTATATTACGTGACCAGCTGTAAGGGTTTCTATATCCAGCTAATAGTAAAGATACCAGAATGTAAAAGTTCATTCATCGTGCGTAACTCCATAATTTCAATAGTTGCCAAATCAGCAATACGTTTCTTCACTGTTCACCATTCTACTCTACAGCCTTATGTGAGGTTACAAGTATTTTCTTAGCAGGCGAATAATATACAATATACATACAAGTTTGTACAAAAGTTGACCCAGATGCATGATGCATATACAAAGAACATTTTTATCATGTAAATACCAGAAACTTTTCAAATATATAACGTGACGATAAATACTAAATATGATAATACTAACCAGCGGTAAACCCGCATATGAGGAAAAGTCCAACATCCATCAAAAGAAGTGCATCCTTGCATCTTCTGACTGTATACGTTTCGAAAGGGATGTAATAGTAATAGGGCAGAAAGTCATAGCAAGTGGCATTATCTTGGAAGTACTCTCCCGGTTGTTCCAAGTTTAAGCGATGTACTGCTGAATAATGACCTGACAATCCTATCAAGTAGTAGGTAGAATAAATGGTAATCACAAAGCGACTGCAGTAGGCCTTTGAGGTTGCTAAAAGCTCATTTGGTTGGAAATTCCCTAAAAATGGAATCAAAATAGATTGATGCGGTAAATTTCATGCATTGATAGCGATAACCAACGAATTAGAATAGGTTAGAAGGAGCCAAGGCCTTATGCCTATATGTTTACATGACAGTTTGTCGCCATAGTTATGTAATTTCAGTGCATACGATTTGCCTAAAAATGACAAGCCAATACGATCGGTGTATGTTCTTTTGTTTGGAAAGAGTAATAAAGTAGTCATCTTTTCTGGCTGTATTTCCATACAAATGAAATAAATTAAATAAGGTATAGAATCAAAAGTTATCCCAGCGTGATTCGTAATTTTTGAAGGTTTAATATAAGGAATTGTGTTCATCACACAGCAGAACTTGCACAATACCTCATATTATGCATCTGTTTTCTTTTTGAAATGGGTGTAGAGACCCGAGCACGTTCTTGGATAAAAGCAAATATACTACTACTACATAGTGATGTTAGAATTGTTACACCACGAAAAAATAATTTCATCAACTGTATTTTTTGGCAATGAGGTAGTAGTAATTTTATTGACAAGTAATAAGAAAAAAAATAATAATGTGTTAGGCGACCCCACAGCTGAATACACTCCTGTACCTACATCTATTCATCGACAAAATGATTGGCATTGTTTCCACAGCATGCTTTAAATATAGTCATTATGTTGCCAAAAAACAAGACTTGTACACACTTGCGTCCCTACTACTGGCTATGTAATTCTAAATCAAAACAAGTCGCAGGCTAGATCCTTCCGCCTAGTCCGAATTAATTCCTCATATTCTTCTTAAGCTTGTATCTCCCGAAGACATTTGTTGACAATACTTTTTGAAACTCTAACAATACCGAAGAACGAAGCTTGGGTACGTTCTAAAATAGTTCATAACAAATAAGAAACTTGGATGTTTTGTTTTAATACACGATACTAATAAGATACCTGCCCTAACTTCAGCGGTAGATTCCTTGATTGATCCTAAAACTAAAAGCTCATATGATCTTTAATTCGAAAATGTTCCATTTCCAAACATTTTTTTAAATTCGTTCATCCGTATAACTTGTAATAATTCTCCAATTCATTGTGTTAGGATTTATTAATATTCACTTATTAGTGAGATTATAGATTAAATTGATTAAGAAAACGCCGCAATAAAACCTAAACTAAAAAGCAAAGAACTTAGCGGATTTCAATTTCTGCTAACTTACATATTCCTGGTCCCGTAATCCCGACAACTACTGAATCAACATAACAGATAATAATATTGTACACATTTTTGAAAATCGGTTGGATGAGTTATGAGCAAAAACAAAAAACAGCATATATCAAAAATCTTGTTTCCAAATGACCAACTAGGGTTTATGGTAAAATAATAATTCTTCCTAACTTACACAGTGCAACTATTTTTAACTTTTGTAGTTCTGGATACCTTTTTTATTCAAAACAGGTGTATACAGGGTGATTTACAAGTAGTGACAAAAAATGAAACATCATACACAGGATCGTATTTTAAGGGGATCTGATATGTAACATTTTTCTCTCGAGTGCTTCATTAAAAAGATACCAGGTGTTGAAGTTTAAAAATAAAAAACAATTTTTCTTGATATCTTCAAAACCGCCAACTGGATTGAACTAAAACTTCTTTACTTAAAACTAACGTGCACCAGTGGCGGAGATACAGGGGATTAGTGGCATTAGTTTTCCGGAAATAGTACGCCACGTTTTTTTTTGAAACGTGCAATTTTTCGAATTTAACCTTCAATTTGCTACAAATAATTACTATTGTGTTTTTCCTTGAGTGCACTGTTTTCGTAAAAATAAAAATAAATGAAATCATTCATGAAGCGCCGAGATACAATTAGTTTCAAAATAAAATAGGAGGCTTTGATACCAACTAAACGTATTTGGGAGGTAGTTTGTCAAAGTTATTTTTTTTTATATCGAAACAGCCGCGCAGACAGAAGCCTAAATGCGGGAACACCGCGGCTGCTATGATGATCCCAAAGAAATTTTGTTAATACGATTTTTGAACTGCCTAAGATTAGTAGAACTGGGAAAAGCTTCCTCTTGTAGATTGTTCCATAATCTAGACACCCTCGGGACAAAGGAGCGGTCGTATCGGCCAGTTCTGGATGTACGAAGTTTGACACGGTTAGGATGGGACGCCGAAGTCAGGCGGGTCTGTCTGGCAGGCACATCGCGCGGCGGCATCATGGAAGAGAGCTCTGAGGAGCAAAGCCCGTTGGTGTAGCGATAGAAAAGAGCTAGATCGCCGACGGCCCGCCGGTGCGAAAGAGTCCCGAGACTGTCTGTTAGAGAAGAGTCATCGATCAGTCAGACCGCCCTCCTCTGGACAGCATCGAGCATGGACAATGTAGTCGGGGCGGCAGCACCCCAAATGTGTGAGCAATACTCGAGGCTAGGCCTTATCTGGGCCTTGTATAGAGTGAGAAGGTCATGCGGAGAAAAGTACTTCTTAGCCCTAAACAAATAGCCTAGCTTTTTCCCAGCAGCTGCAGCTATTGACGAGACGTGTTCGTGCCAGATCAGGTCCTCGGTGATCTGGACTCCAACCAGCCGAAATGAATAGCTCTTTGGTAGAACTCGGCCGTTCATCGAAACTGTATGAGCGCTAGGACGCTCTTTGTTCGTCAAAGTACAGTACTGTGTTTTGGAAACATTGAACTGTACAAGATTGTTGCGTCCCCAAGCAGTGATAGCCTCCAGGTCTCTTGTCAGAAAAGAAGTCGTCGCTAGTCTTCTTTTTTCCAGCTCAGCGGCAGAGATCGGTTTGTCACTCTGAATTCCTGCATGTAGAGTGCTGTCATCAGCGAAACTGTGGATTGGGTTGATCTTGCAGGAAAGGAGGTCGTTGATATGTAAGAGAAACAGTGTTGGAGCCAAGACTGATCCCTGGGGAACACCCGCGTTGACGTTGTGGGATGAAGAGGAGAACCCGTCAATTACGACAGATATCTTGCGGCCAGAGATAAAGTCAGCCACCCATCTGCAAAGCTTTTCTGGGAGGCCATAGGATGGAAGTTTGCTTAAGAGGGCAGCGTGCCACAGCTGATCGAACGCTTTCGTGATGTCAAGAGCAACGACATGAGCCTCACCATGAGACTGGATGAGTTTACTCCACAATTGCGTGACGTAAGCTAGGAGGTCCCCTGTGGATCGTTGGTGCCGGAAACCGTATTGCCTGTCGCTAATCAAGCTGTGACGTTCGAGGTAGTCCAGAAGCTCGCGATTTATGCACCTCTCCATCACTTTACTTATAACAGAAAGCAGAGCTATAGGCCTGTAGTTGTAAGGGTCGGTCGTAGACCCTTTTTTTGGGATGGGCTGGTCATGAGCAAATTTCCAGTTTTCTGGGAAGGTGCCGGATTCATAAGATATCTGGAAGAGACGCGAAAGAACTGGAGCAAGCCCCGCTGCACATCTCTTCAGTACAATGGCAGGAATCAAGTCCGGACCAGAAGCTTTGTTGATGTCTAGCGACAAGAGCACTCGTCTTACGGTCTTATGTCTGAAAGTTACATCCCGCATAGTGTGGGGAACCCTTTGAATTGACGGCACTTGGGCGCTGGTGGGGACGTCCATGGTGGAGTTGGCAGCAAAGATCTTGGCTAGCACTTCCGCCTTGGCCTTTGAGTCGAATACAATAGTTCCATCTTGACACGTAAGTGATGGAAGGCTACTTTTTGAGAAGTTCTTTTCAATCTGCTTGGCCAGCGTCCAGAAAGACCGACCGTTATGTGTTATACGGTTGTTATCGTAACTACTGCTCCAATTTTTTTTTGTAAAAGTTAAGTCGACTGTCGAACGCAGAGGTACCACCCGGCGGATCTCGTAGGCGGGGCCAGAATGTGTGCATGTTGCATGCACACGTGTTCCCTTGCCAGAGTCCGTGTGTCGTCCTCCCCTTTCCCCTGTATCCCCCTATAGCCCCACGGTACCCCATGGGTGCTTAGGCCTTAGGCCTTCGTGGTGGTTGGAGTATAAAAAAAAGTCTAAAGTTCCTTCTTCCATTTTCGAGTGTTGTGGAATAGAATTAAGCAATGATGAGTACGCCGATATTATTTTTGTGTACGGGTACAGGTTCTGTAGCGGCTCCTCGGTAGAATCAACGTAGATTTCCTGAAAGACGCCAACCTACACCAAAGGTTTTTACGCGTTCATTTCTAAGACTTTGGCAATATGGAATGGCTAAACTTCCAGGAGTTAGAGGCCATGTTCTCCGGTATACTGTTCAAGAGGAACTGGAAGGGATTAATTTGGCGTTGGATGATCCTAGTACAAGTAGGAATCTTAAATCAGGAAGTTTTACATCCTTACCATCGGCAAAATATGTCTGCAACCCGGCGACGAAGTGCAACGGCGAAATTTTTGTGAGTGGTTACTGAAATACATAATCAAAATGCAGATTTTATTGATTTGGTTTTGTGGTCAGATGAATCGCTGTTTACGGGGAGTGGGACTTTCAATTCTCATAATGAACATATTTGGTCGTTAGAAAATCCCCCTTCTGTAAGCATCCACTCGTTTCAACACAGATTTTCTAAAAATGTCTGAAGCAGTATTTTCAATGGCCAACTGTTTATGCACGTATTGCTAAAACGTTTAAATACAAACTCATACTTAGCTTTTCTAGAGAATTACATAGAAACTGTGTTCGATGATGTTCCGTTAGCAACGATATTACGAATGTGGCTTCAACACGACGGTGCCCCACCGCATGATTGTCGTGCCATAACCGCATGGTTAAATAATTATTTTAGACAACAATGGATTGGCGGAAACGGATCCGTACATTGGCTTGCGGGGTCTCCTGATTTGAACCTCCTGGATTTCTTTTTGTGGGGCGCTTTTAAACAACTAGTGTATGCTGAACAAATTAATACTGTTGATCAGTTATAAGAAATACGTTTTTCTTTATTAAAAAGATGTCACACTTGTATCCCTCAAAATTGTGGCCTTTGTGTTTTTTATTTGTAAACTTCAACACCCCTATCTTTTTAATGAAGCACTCGGGGGAAAATGTTTTATAGAAGACTTCCCTTAAAATGCGGTCCTGTGTATGACGTTTCATTTTTGGTCATGACTTGTGAATCACCCTGTAAATGTTAATATGAATTTCCCTTAACCAACCTTTTAGTTCTTTTTTGAACTTATTGTTACTACATTTTTAATTTTTTGCTGGTATGTTATTATACAGGGTGTTTCTTACATGAATCGACAAAAAAATATGGGTAATTGGGGACGCTATTTTATGATTTTTGGTGGAGTCTTTTCGAAATGACTGCCTCCACTTGTTGAGAATAAAGTTAGCGAGGGCCAAGCAGTACACGGATTAGGAATACCTCTTATGCAGGTGGATTTGAAGTTAATGACATCCCATACCTGGATTACTATAATACGTTTTAAGGTATTAACAACAACTACCATTAATGTCTAATCCCATAACCTGACAGGTATCTATACCAGGTATCGCAGCTCATTAATTTCAGATAAACTTGCCCGTGTTGGATTTCTGAGCTTACCTGCTAACTACATTTGAATTACGTTCCTCACCATCTCATAATTAAAAGAGTGCATTACGAAATTAGGGCTATTCGAGCTTTGACTATCTCTCATACCAGCAGTATATTTGCGTTTGATTTTGTTGTTTCTGTTTTTGTTATTGTTAGTGTTTTCACCGTCAATATCAAGTTTCATTGTTGTCATAATGCCGAGGTTCAGTAACGAGGAGTATGCTGATATGTCGCTAGCTTATGGCAGTGCTAACTGCAATTCACATGAAGCGCAAAGACTTTACCAGCACCGATACCCTGATCGGCAGTTACCTCACCATGGGACCTTCGCAACCACATATCGGCGACTGAGAGAGACTGGGAGCGTGAATTTTCAAGAGCCTAGAGTGAGTGGTCGGCAACTCAGTGTGACTGCTGATGGGCAAATCCTTAGAGCATATGATGCGGTCCTACCACGTATTCGGGTTGTGGCTGAAAGACTTGCTGTGTCGGTGAAAAAAGTCTGGTCTGTGTTACAGGCAAACAGGAAATATCCATTTCATTATTGTCCTATACAAGGTAATGTAATAGTAAGCTTTGTCAGGTTTATGCCACATTTTAATAATGATTGTCATAATCACAGTCACAAGGATAAGAGTTGAAATCCTTATTTCTTATGAACACGTGTATACAGCTTGTCAAAGTCATAGTCATAAAATAGTCTATGGTCATAAACATTAGCCCTTGTGAAGTTTGACACATGTGCAGTTGTGCTAACCGTATGCGTATTTATGTTACAGGTCTGGACGAAGGTGACAGTACAAGAAGACAGAACTCTGCAGATTCATTTTTCACACGGACGTAGACGACGGTAGCTTTTTGAAGAGGATCTTGTGGACAGATGAGTCCAGCTCCAACCATGACGGGATGGTGAATTTGCACAATCTACACTATTGGGCAGGCTGAGACCAGAACCCACAGACAGTGCTCATTTCAAAGACGATTCAGAGTCAATGTGTGGGCCGACGTTATTGGACGGGCTCTGATAGGACCTTATTTTTTTCCAGACCGGCTAAATGGTGAAAATTTACTGGAATTCCTGCAGACTGCGTTACCTGATCTGCTGCTACCACTTATTTTCCAGCATGATGACTGCCCCGCACATTACGTCCAACCAGTTCGACAGTTTTTGGACAATGCGTTTCCAAATGCCTGGATTATAGGGGTGGTCCTGTATATTGGCCACCACGGTCTCCAGACCTGACACCTTTGGACTTTTACGTCTGGGGTCAAGCGAAGGAATTGGTGGATGTGACAGAGGTGCCCAATAGAGAGGTGCTAATCCAAAGCATTGAAGCAGCCTTTCGTCAGATGAATGAAGAGATCCTGCTTCACACAGCAACCGTCAAAATACGAAAAAGATATCGAGCATGTCTCAGAAATGAAGGCAGTCATTTTGAAAATACCTTATAATGGGTTAACATCAAATTAAAACGTGAAACATTGGAAAATGAATTCTTTATTCCTGAACCTAATCAGTTGTTTTCTCGTCTATCGAGCGCAAAACATCTTATTTCTATGATGTCTAGTATCTTGTTGTAAAAGCAATAAACCACAGAACTTTTGTAAATAAAACTAATTTTAAAAAAACCTACAGGTTGTTTGTACTCGAATTTTGAATTTAAAATTGTTTATTCACTCTGCGCTATTTTACGACTTTGGAAGGTCATAAGTCATTTTATGGAGAAGCTTTGTACAAACCATTAATTTCATCTGATTCAGTATGCTATACAGAATGGACTCCAATTTATCTTGTGTTATTATCTCAACAAACAAAAAAGTTATCACGATAGTTCTGCGCCATTGTAGGTAATTCAGCAAAAAAAACGAAAAACATCATATCTCGGAAACTGTAGCATTTAGAGCATTACAGTTTCCACCAAAAATCATCAAATAGCGTCCCCAATTACCCATATTATTTTGTCGGTTCATGTAAGAAACAGCCTGTATAATAGTGGAGCCTGATAAATAACTGATTTCAGCAAAATCTCGTTTAGCCTACGAAAGTTCAGATAGGAATAATTTAGGTCACATTTTAATGGTGTCTCTTACATATCTAGAACAAATACCTAATAATTTGTTTTACTATTTTAATCATATCCATATTTAACCTTACCATATGATTCGTACGAGAACGTATTGCTCTGAAGCCTCGTTCTAATATCAAATAGATGTTTGCGATTAAACACCACTACCAGGAACTTCACTACGTCGAAAAGTATAGTATGTATTCCCAATTGGCCAACAAATGTTTCTGCATCTTTCATCATGAATTTCATTGTTGCTGCCACCAATAAATAGTAGCTGATACCACAAGTAATCACAAAGGTATCCCAAAGGAAAAAAACAATTCTTTTCAGAGTAGCCTGTTTTTCAATCGGTGGAACACCGCTCAGCTTTTGAAAAAACTCTAGCGTTTGGAAAAAATTACCGTCTTGCTTCGGTGACATCATTGGAAATGTTGGATAAGATGGTTTGTGTTATATATATATGGTGCTTAAAATATTGATTCATTTGTTCCTTGCAAGTTGTTTTTCCTTTGTGTCAGACTGATAATTAAAAGGTTTCCAGTTAAAATGACATCAATTCGCTCCTTTGAAGTTATCCTAATAGGTGCAATCAGAACATAATACGTATTCTAGTTGAATAGATATTTTCCGTTCCGTTCTTTGTTTGAATTTCATTATTTAGTTCTTACATTGTAATTAAAGTAGGTATGTATAATTGAAGTACTGATAAAATCACTTTTCTGAAGAGTCCCACTGAATTACCGTGTAAGTCAAGCTAAGTATTCCAAATTAGGCGCTGTTATAATAAATATTATTCAGACGAGAGAGATTCAAGACATTTTTTTGGGTAGCGTCAAAGATGGAAAATTTATTTATTAACGTATATTTAAAAAAAATATATAAAGAATTAGTGATCTACAGGAGAGGAATATGTGTAAAATGAAGTTCAAAATGAGGCCTTACCTAATCAACTTACTGCTGACTATAAGCGTTTCTGAACGAGAAATATTTTCACTTTATTTTCTAGCTTTAATAAAAGCGAGTAACGCAGGGCAATATTTTATTTGCGTATTTCTTTCCGTGTTACTGCCAGATTGCCGAACAATCGTTATTTCCACTGACACGTTCACTGCGATATAGCCCAGGCTACAAAGAAAGAAAGTGTTTCGTGTCAAAAAAGTTTAGCAGGTATCTGAAAGTTTTGAAAGTTTTCTAATAACAAATACATGAAAAGATACAGCCAGATATGCGTTGTTTGTTTTTATAAACAATAGGAAAAGCTCAAAATTCAGTATTTTGCTTGTATAATTATCAAATTAAATTTTATGAATATTCGGTAAACTGGAGATTTTAAAGCATAAAAAGACCTTCAATTTTATTTCTTTAAATATTAAAATCGTTAAACAATTAAGTTAAGTACAGGGCTTTTTAGCAATATTTAATAAATGCTTATAACTATTGCACTAACAATTGCAAAAATTTGTGGTGATGAGGACAATATCGGTGTCAATTGTGTGCTAAATTTCAGACGGATCGGTTTAATAGTTTATGTAAAAATCTAATTGTTTATCCCAGAGACGATTCATTTAAACAACAAGATATGGTCATAGTATATTTTACAAAAGTGAAATGGACTCTTGAAGGTTCAAAATTATGCCAAAAATAGCCATTTTTGTACTTATAAACATTTACAATAACGCGGTTATTTTTCAACATAATTTATTACAACGTTAAAAAACGCATATTAAAAAAACCTTCTACGACTAACAGGAGCCAAGATAATTTTTTTAAAAATCATATGTCCTTGGTTTATAAACATTAAGATTGGAAACTTTTACAGATTTTAATCAAGGATCTTAATTTTCCAACTTATAGTTTTACTATTAGTGCAAAGGTCTTTAAGAAATTGCCACCTAAGTATTTCCGGGTGAGCCAGTGGCGCTCCCTGGATTTCAGTCTGGGAGGGATAACATGGAAAGTAAATTCTCAGTGTGACGTACTGAAGTGTTATAATGATTTAACATCAGACATATGAATTTGTTACAGTAATTTCTGTAGAAAATACATACATTTTTTTTAATAAAAATAATATAATCTATCGAGACTTTTCTACATAACAATGTCAGACACAACAACAAACAATACATCTTCATGAAAAAAATAACAATAATAAATATGTTACGACTTCTATAAAGTATAAAACTGAATGTAAATCAAAATAAAATTCTCAATCATGAGAAAAACACAAAAAATATTCATTGCATAACTACATTCTCTTAGCCAGTCTCAAAAAACAAAAACATATAAACTATGAAACTACATCAGTTCACAGTCTCAAAATAAAACAATCATTACATTAGCTTAGAAAGTGATTTGAACAGACTTTTATATCAATCTGCTGGCCAATAAATAAAACCACATATCATGATTGGATACTTTGGAAAAGATCACCGTGGTGGTTTAAACGTAAGTTAACCCTTAACTACATCTGCTTTTTTATTTATTGGCCAACAGAAGGGAGATGGATTTGAGAGACAACCTTAGGCAAAGTTCAGGAGTTATCATCTTACAAAATCAAGGCGCCTATTCTTTTTGCTGACGAACCGATCTATGATTGTATTCACGTCTATTTTAATATCCCTATGCATATAAATAAGAGCTAAGCCCACTAATCGCACTTGTTTTTATCCTCTTTAGATGGGAGAAACTTCATTCAGATATCGCAACACTTACCGACAATGAAATCAATATTTGTAGGCATCTATTAATTGAAGGAAACATGTTTTCATCACATGATAAATACAGTGACATTCCACTGTCTATAATATCTTGTGTACGTGACTTCCAAATGTCAAATTCTGCTTTTAAACTGGTACTTATTAAATTTTTGTTTTCGTTACTATTTAGTCCATGCAAATATTTAGAGATTGTTTCTAATATGTCCATTATTTCCACTTCAGTTTTTGAATGAAATACTGACGCGAAGAAAATATTAAAATTTTGAAGTGGAAGGCTCAGGTTGAATTGTAGGATTATCATCAGTTTTTTTCGGTAATTCTTGTGCCGGTGGATCAGACAGTTTGTTTTGTTTAGAAAGGATCCAACCGATGGTATTCTGTTTCCTTTCACTCATGCTGACAACAGCAGCTGTCAAACAGCACTAAAAGCTACACAAATATTGTCAAATAAACGGCATTATTGGCACCCACGCATTCACGTATCTCATAACAGAGAACCTTTTCTGTTTGGAAAAAAAGATTTCTTAAGTTCACACAATTTTCAAAAACTAAATATATAATTTGCCATCTCGGATGAGCGAACTGCATTGAAGTGCTTATACAGGGACTTCCGAGACAAAATAGGCATGAATGATAATGATAGCTGGAGTATGGACCAAACACTTGAATAATTGAAATTATATAAAATTTCCATTTGTCAGTCTGTAATTTTTTTAGACACGATTCTATTATAGTATAAAAATTAAAAACAAACAAAAAATAATTTTATGGCTCATGCGTGGAAAATAAAAAATCAATAGAACATAGAAAATAGCGTTAATACCAAGCAGATCAACAAAACTCCGTTTGTTCACTTCTCAGCCAAATTTTGTTGTTACCGATTTTTTTATAATACGTTTACATTATACCACCTTTTCAAAGACTGCTCGAATCGTCTCTGGAGGAAGGGTAATTACCCCATTAACGCCCCCCCCCCCCCGTGGAAGCGCCAGTGGAGTGAGATGGTGGGGGAATCAGCTCTAGCTCGATTAGTTTTTGAAACTGAGTCTTCAAATCGGAGCGCACTACAAAATTTTGCATTATCTTGGCTTCTAAGCAACGTAGCATCTTCTTATTTATTAATTAGGGGTAACTCGCCTAAACAATGACATTTGGCACATTTTAATTTTCCTGGAAACTCTAGAAATCCCGGAAAACCTAGCACGTATTCTTCAAAATTAAATTACTGTTTAGTAATACTAAATTCACAATTAATCATTTACTTTTACTCTCACCCTAATAAAATTATCTAAAAAATTCATAATTCGGTTAAATACTCTTAACAAAATACACTCTAATAAATTGTAAAAAATATTGATTCGTGTTTGTCTTTCATTTATATTTATTTTATGTGCATTCTTTGTATTATAGTTATGTTAAATAATGTATTTTTTTATTATAATATCTCATAATCTTGTTCCTCCATTCTTAATCTTTTATTTGGATGCTCTACTTCTTCTTCAATATTTGTATAACTCACTTCGTCAAATGAGTCGTCGATTTTCTCAGTCTGCTCTTCATCATCGTCAAATCCAATTACAGCAACGTGTCATCATTACCATCGTTACAATTTATCTTGACTCTTATTGGTCGTAGGTTTCTTTTAAATTATGCGTTTTTTAAATACCTATCCAGGTCAACTTGTTAAAATAAATTATACTTAAAAATAACGAGGTTATTGTAAATATTTATAATAATTTTGAAATAAAATAATAAATTTTTTGCATAAATTCTTGGAGTTGAAACCTTGAAGAACCCATTTCACTTTAGTAAAATGTTCTAGGTCCATATCTTGGGCAAGAACAATTGTTTAAATAATTCGTCTCTGGGATAAATAATTAGCATTTTACATAAACTATTAAACCGATCCGGCTGACATTCAACACATTTATTAACACCAATGATGGCCGTATTCTCATAAATCGTTAGCCGTTTACAGTTGTTATTGCAGTAGCTATAAACATTTATTCAATATTGCTAAAAAGCCCCGTATTTAGCTTAATTCTTTATCGATTTTAATTCTCAAAAAACAAATTAAAGGTCTTTTTATGCTCTAAAATCTCCAGTTTAACGATTATTTATAAAATTTAATTTGAAAGTTATACCAGCAAAATATTGAATGTTGGGCTTATCTCATTGTTTATACAGAACAACGCATATCTGGCTGTATCTTTTTATGTATTAGTCATTAGAAAGACCATTTAAAACTTTCAGATATCTGCTCAACTTTTTCATACCTTTTTTTATCTAGCCTGGACTAATACCAGATAAAGGGATTTCCATTAAGGACTTGACAACTTTCTTTTTAAATAAAACGCAAACCATTTGAGATATCTCGAAAACTTTATTATGGGATTGAGGTATGCTCAAAACATTTATGTATGGAATTCGACCTCGTTCATATATCCGCCACGGACACGTTCGCAATTATCGACTTGTTGGACCCAATTTTCAATGGCTCGGCTACACATTTCGACAGAAACAGTCGATATCTCTCGTTCAATATTGGCTCTGCGGTCCTCTAACAACGACGGCTTGTTGCATAGACCAGGAGTCGGCAACCTGCGGCTCGCGAGCCGCATGCGGCTCTTTTGATGTCAAGTTGCCGCTCTCCAGTTCATAGTAAATGCTCTAAACACAAATATAAATGAGATTAACATTGAGCCATTTGAAATTAATGCTGGTTCGTTCAATGCAACTGCTGGTTTTTGTAAATTGTAACTTTTTGCTCTTCCATCTCAAAAGGTTGCCGATCCCTGGCATAGTCCAATGATTAACTGTAGCCCCACAAAAAAATGACTAGAGGTGTTAAATCACACGATCACACCGAATTTTGATTTCAATATGTCTATTGTTTTACCCGCTGTGTGGCTTGTGGCACCGTCTTGTTAAAACCACATATCATTAATGACTAGCCCATCCAAGTGACCAAAAAAATAACGTTGCAACAGGTCTCTGTAGCGATCCCCATTGACTGTAGCGTGACGGTCATATTCATCAACGAAAAAAAAAAAACAGTCCAATGACACCACCGGCATGAAAACCACACTATTCAGTGGATAAAGTGGTATTTCTTAAACCACATGAGGGTTTTCACCTGACCAATAACGCATATTCTGTTTGTTGACGAAGTCGTTTAGCCAAAAATTGGTCATTTTCTTGCAACAGTTCTAGAGCCCAATTCGAGAACGTACGTCGGTTCATATGATCGAACGGCTTCAGTTCTTGAGTTAACTTGATCTTATAAGGGTGCAGGCCAAGATCTTTTCGCAAAATTTGCAAGTGTG